GCTATGAGTCGTAGGCGACTCAACAGCACATAACAACAACGACAAACAACGAATCATATCAACCTTATGAACAACAGGTCTGAATCCTGTGCCATCCTCACCATCTCTGAGATGCATTGAACAGTAATGACTTGTGAGTAGATAAGTTGTGGTGTGATATTGTTGTTGTTAGGTGCCATCAGTACTTCTCATAGAGACCCTTTGAACAGCTAACCTAAATTCTGCCTTATCCTGTTCCATCCACATTATCTCTAACATATATATGAGGAAAATAAAAGGTCACTCAAAAAACAAGAAAAAAAAGAAAAGACCAAAATTAGTGCCAGAACAGGTCCTGAAATTTTTTTCTTCAATGGAAAGAAGCTAAATCAAGAGGAAAACATTATGAAGAAAGAGAGCTGAACAGAAGATTTCAAAGGGCAGTCAAAGCAAAGTATTATAACTAAGTGCTCAAAGAGCTGGTGTTATAACCAAAAGGGAAGACCATGTTTAACATTTCTTAAGCTCAAAGAATTGAAAAATAAAATCAAGATTTCAGTTGCAATAGGGAAGGTTTTATGGACAAAATACTCAAGAAAACATCAAAAGGAGATGGAAGAAATTCACAGAGTCATTGTACCAAAAAAAAAAATGGTCAACATGGAACCATTTTAGGAAGGAACAATGACAAGAAACAATGGTAATGAAGGAAGAAATTCAAGCTGCACTGAAGGCATGGGCAAAAATAAAAAAGCAACAATCTAGACACTGGTGAAGTGTTTCAGCAAACTGAAGCAGCCCTAGATTTACTCAATCATTTATGCTAAGAAATTGGAAGATTTCTGGTCAACTGACTAGAAAGAATCCATGTTTATGGCTATTGAAAACAAAGAGATGATCCAGTGGAATGTGGAAATTATCAAACAATTTCATTAACATCACATGTAAGTAAAATCTTGCCAATGCTATTCAGAAACAGCTCAAGTAGAATTTTCAGAAATTCAAGATGGACTCAGAAGAGACTATGCAACAAGGGATATCATCGTTAACTTCAGACTGCTATGCAATAACTGTGTAGACCAGAATAAGTTCTTGATAACACTGAGAAGAATGGGACTTTTAGGACATTTAATTGTGTTCCTACAGAACCTGTACATGGATCAAGATGGGATCATTTGAACAGAAGAAGATTATGCTGTGTGGTTTAAAATTGGAAAAGGTGTGTATTAAGGTGGTATCTTTTCACCATAGTTAGCCATTCTATAAGCTGAGCAAATTTTCTGAGAAGCTGAACTATATAAAGAATGATATGGCACCAAGGATTGAAGAAAAGCTCAGTAATAACTTGTTTTACACAATGACATATCCTTACTTGCTGAAAATGAAGAGGATGTGAAGTACTTAATGAAGGTTAAAACTACATGTTTCAATATGACTTGCATCTCAACAAAAAGAAAAAATCTTCAGAATGGAATCATTAAATAATATCATGATAAGTGGAGAAACATTGATATTGTTAAAGATTTAATTTTATTTATATCTATAGTCAGAAGCAGATATCAAGAAATAAAATGAATTATTGTATTGGGGAAAAATCTTCTTCAAAGTTCTAAAAATCAAGAATATAACATTAAATACTAAGGTGTACCTATTTCAAGCGCATATTTTCCATTGCTTCATATGCATTGACATATATGAATGAAAATTGGACAGCTAGTGAAGAAAACAAAAGAAGAATTCTTGCCTTTGAATTCTGGTATTAGTGAAGAATATTGAATATACCACAAATTGCCAAAAAAAAAAAACAAAAAAAAAAAACAACCGAACAACTCTGTTTTAGAAGTGAAGCCGGAACACTCCTTAGAAACAATGATTTGTTTCATTCTTATTTAATATTATTTCAAATACTAGACCATAATCTAGATGTCCACATTTAATTTTTTTTTTGTTACAAACTCTTTTCATTTAAATCACCAACATTTTAGTGTCTCTTAGAAGATATCTTGTGGAATGCTTACTTGGTCAAGAAGTTTTGTAGGAGGACAGGTCACTGGATCTTGGCAAACACAGCGGGGTTTTCCCTGGGCGTCAGCCTTGCAAACATGTCCTCTTTTACACTGGAAAGTCATGCAAGCATCTATGAGAAAAAAACAGAGCAAGCCAGATTACAATTAAAAAGACCATTGACACATTGTTTTGTTGGTTTTAAAAAATTTCTTTTTTGACACATTGTAAAAAATATATAAAAAAAGGAAAGACTTCCAGAAAGAAGCAGACAGAAAAGATAAACGAAATAGCTAAACCTCCCGTTTATTCAGACAACTAGCTTCTTAGTTATCTTAGCTAATTATGGGGGGAAATTGGAAAAGCAACTGAAATTGCTTTGATGAGTTACTTCTTGGGTGGAGCCTTCTGGCATCACTCTGTTCTACAGCACAGCTAACATTTTCAGTGCTTTGGTTTGAATTGAATGTTTAAAAAGAACACACAGTTCTTCCTGGACAGACTGGGATAGTCTGCATCTAAAGTCAATAGTGTAATATTGTGCAAGTGGTCAGACATTATACATGTGGATTTTATTGTGCTTAAATAAAAATTGTGATTGTATTATAAATTATGCCCTTAATTAAACAAGGAATTTGGAATTACTAGTAAATTACAGATTGAAGAATAAATAAAGTAGATTTAAGTTGTCTTCTCCAAAGTAAAAGGATACAAAGAAAAACATGAATTCTAGTTTTTGCATTAATATCTCAAAAGTTTCAGTTAGTGAGTACATCTATTCACTGTGGTACATCATATCTAGAAGAGAAAATAGAAACTAATTAGGTGCAGGAGTGGCATCCACTTCCTAAACAACATGCCTCTGCAAACTCTATGAACTTTGATAGTTGTAGAGAGACTTCAGGGCTTTTGTTCATTGGGTCTCAATGAGTTGTGCTTGCTCATGCTCGACTTGAAGGCAATCAGCAACAACAACAACAATTAGGTGAGAGTTTTCTTGGACAGTGTTGGGAAGAAGAAATGATTCTCTGCAATAGTCACAAAGAAGGCAGAGAGGAGACCAACAGGGCAGACTCTATGTCTTCCTTGATAATAGTCATAGCTTCCTTGAGAGAGTCACAGTCATTAACTCAAATGTACTCCTTGACACCCTCCACCCTCATATTACCTTCACTTGAATTTTCATCTTCATTCGGCAAACTCTCTATTTTCTTGACCTTTACAACAACAAGAACAGACGTTAAAGTTTATTCCGGAGAAAGCCATTACTTAATCACAACTGACACCAGACATCCAGTCACAGATTTTGCCACCCAGATCATTTTAGATCTCAAAAAAAAAAAAAAAGTAACTGGTTGGAACTGTTGAGTAAATCACAATTTGAGAATGTGAAATATTCAATCTTTATTGACTGGATTAAGTGCTGTATCTTTGGGGAATCAAATTTTAATTTTTTTTTTTTTATAATTTGGAAAAAGACTAGAAATGTGGTACCGGTGTGGAATTTGTCAATTAGGCAGGGTTACATCAGTGTCATCTGTGAAAATGTTGGTTAAGTTTTCTTATTTGATTTCTAAAGGGTAAGAAACTCCTGTCTTAGAATGGAAGCAAGATTTTCAGAAATATTAGGTACTGTTGACCTTGCTCATCAAAAGCTAAGCCAGATTCTCTTAATGGATGACTAATGGAGTTCTTTAGGAATACTTCAAATCATGAAAAATCAACTGAATGGCCCTATGTTTCCCCAACCAAGTTTCCACATTGTCATTTTGGTGTGTGTTTTCTTAGCAAAATTGAGACTGAAGCTTTTGTTCCTAATATCTTTTTTTAATTGGGATTTGATAAGACGTCTACATAGTTTTCAGAATGGCAAAGGTTTTACATTCAACCATTCATTCATGTTTAGTTTCATGACATTAATTATGACTTTGTTCATAATCTTTATATCTAACTCAGCCACTATCCCTGAACCTTTTATTATGTTAGGAACACTGTGGAGGCACTGGTGATTTGATTTAAATTAGATGTGGCACCTGCTCTCAAGGCTTTATAACAGCAGCTGTCAATGTCTCTCACCCTGTATATCCATCAGAGTTTCTCATTCCAGCTAGCTTAGGGATTTTCAAATTCCAAGGTCTGTATTTCTGTGTTGGGAAAACCATGCAAATCTATTCTGCTTGCTAAAAAATGAGCTAGAAGTGCCAGGAGAATTAACAAACTTTATTCTCCACCAGCAACCTTAGCCAATATGAGTACCCTTGCTCCCTAACTCCCCAAATAGAAAAATTCTCCGAAACATGTGTTACATACATTTTTCAAATAGTCGATTTTTTGTTAGCATTTGTTCCTGTGTAACTTTTCCACCCTTCTTTGTGCCCCACTTCTCAAATAAACTGCTCTCAAATCCACAATATGGTTTAAGGGAATCCAAATAAATCACACACTCTAAATCTAATGATGGAAATGGATGGAAAAGAAATAATTGTAATATATTGTGTTAATGCATGTAGTTTATATACAGATAATTGTGAAACTACAGAGAGAAACCATGAGTGTCTATTGACAAAATGAATTGCTTTTCAGGCAAGCATCATCACAAATAATCTCACCTCTTGGGATTCTCTAGGTCCGTTGCTGTCAACACTCTCATTTTCATTTACTCTTTCTTTTGGTTCCTCATTGTTGATAGGATAATAATTGGATTGAGCTCGATCATTCTCTAGGAAGGGCTGGCTTGGGCTGAAGCCCTCATCACCAGCATTGTGCCCGGGACTCTCCTCACCAGCCCCAGCCTCCTGATTTTGAGGCATGCTGTTGCCATTTCCAATAGGCTCCATGAACAAAGCTTCAGGAACTGTTTTTTTCTCCATCTCCTTGTGGGCAGTGATAATTTCATGACCAGTTTTCCCTTCTTGGCCCTGCCATTCAGTATCTTGACCATGTTTGTTGATTTTTGATGCACTTTCCTCTTCCATTTCTTCTTTGAAATGATCCTCTCCATCTTGTTCTTGGTTGCCCTGTTCAGATTCTGCCTTCTGCGTCATACTGACTTGAGTTGGTTGACTGGACTCTTCCAAAACATCATCCAATTGGGTGCTATTTTCTTGGTTGCTGCTAAACTGCCCTTTAGATAGTTCTTCTTTTTCTTCTTCACTTTCTTGGCTTTCATCCTGAGCACCAACTGTCTCTTTTTCCTCTTCTTGTTTGGGAATGGTTGGATCCTGTTCCTGGTTTTCTTGGTCACTTAGGTCTTCGATAAGTTTGCTACTCTTATTCACCTGATCGTCTTGGTTTCTCTCCTTCTCTGTGAGGTTTTGTTGTTGTTTGTAATCTACAGTGGAACTAACATCAGGATCATGGAAGTCAGTGTTCTCAGAGAGATTTTTCTTTTGATGACCAGTTGTATCTTCGTTCAAGTTCAATGTTCCTTCAGTTGGTTTGTCTTCCAAACCCACACCTAAGTCACCATCACGATCTTCTTGATCTTTCTGTCCTGTTTCTTTGCTAGAATTCTGGTCGTGATCCTCTGCTTGTTCATGACTTTCCTCTTTTGATGTTAATATTGAAGATTTTTCATCCTTAAAAGAAAAGAAATACTTTTGGAAAAATATGATACCAAGTTATAATTCCTAAGTTGGTATTTTATATTTACTATTCCTTTATTTATTTCTTTATACATTATCCTATAACTATATTTTATTTTGGGAGAATAAAACAATTATAAAGCTCCTCACTTCATAAAGTAAAACTCATTAATTCATGCAACTGTTTTAGTGACTGGAGGCAGTTCATATGTTTCTCATCTTAAAACAACAACAACAAAAACCAAGGGGAAAAAAACCCTCAAACTCAACCAACTCACAGCTGAACCTCTTTTTGAAGGCTGTGAATCACTCGGGAGGAGATTACCCATCTTTCTCCTGAGAAGCCAGTAGAAATTCAAGCTACAAGAAAGGCATGGTTTTGGGTTAGTTATGCAACTCCTGATCTTATGGGCTACTCCTCGAGAGCTCCCTAATCTTAAAAAAATTTAAAACAAACAAAAAATCATGAAGAATGTAATCTCTGACAATGCTATGAAATTGAGTCTTTTGAAGAATTTAAAACATTAAAACTGCCATGCAGCTCTTACCTCATAATCTTCTACATATATTGAAGGTTCTTTTTCATTTTCTGCATATTCAATCTCTAATGTAGGAATTGCAGTATTGTGGGGTGTTGCTGATGTTTCACTGTGTTGAATGGAACTCAGAGAATCAGCAGTGGGTTTGGAATGATCAGATAAGAACCTTGTGGTTGTCTGAAAAAATGAGGAAAAAAAAGTTTGTTATCTACTTGTAAATGCCCATTTTAAAAATTGCTGACAATTTTTGTACTATTATCACTGATTATTAACAGCAATATGCTTCTCTATAAGTAAAAACATGTTCCCTAGACTTTTTAAGAGCACAGGAAAATGTCCAGTATATAAAATTCAGTAAAAACTGGTCTTAATCATCTTTAAGAAAACATTTCATATGCAGAGACTTAGTAGAAAAAAAAGTAAAAAAAATATTTTAACCATGAGATCTTTGATTTCTGGAATTTTCTTTTGTCTTTCCAATGATTGCAATGTTTTGTTGTCATGTGCCTTTGAGTTGAGTGACTCATAGTGACCCTATTCACAACAAATCTGACCTTGGCTCTAACCTGCACCATCTTCATGACCTCTGCCATGTTCAGGTCATTACATTTTACTGAGGGTCTTTCTTTCACTGGTCCTCCACCTTTCCCAGTATGATGTCTTTTTCCAAGGATTGTTCCTACCTGAAACACGACCAAGATGAAGTGTCAACATCTTTGCCTTTAAGGAGTACTCAAGCTATGCTTTCCAAGATAATTGGTTTGTTCTCTTGGCAGTACATGGGGTACTCTTCACCAACGCCACAATTCAAAGGCATCAATCTTCAGTTCTTGATATTTATTGTTCAATTTGCTCAATTTCTCTCATGATTTTCCCAATGCAATATGTCTTTTGATTTGTTGACTGCTGCTATCATGAATGTTGATTGTGGATCTAAGTAAAATGAAGTCCATGACAATGTCAATCTTTTATCCATCTATCAATTTTGGTAATTTGGTCCAGTTGTGAGAATTTTTATTTTCTTGATATTGAGATGTAATTAATTTTAGGGTTTTTTTTGAGATGTAATTAATTTTGAAGGCTGTAATCTGATCTTCTGCAGCAAGTGTTTCAAGTCTTTTTCATGTGCAGTAAGTAAAATTGTTTCTTTGGCTTGAGAAATGCTGAATGTGTTCTTCCCTTTTGGTTTTCTAACTCCAGCTCTTTGCACGTTTAATTATAATCTTTGCTTTGTTTACTTAAGCTACCTTTGGAAATTTTCTGTTCAATTCTCTAACTTCAGCATTTTTTTCCTTTGCTTTCTCTTAATGTTTTAGTGTAAATTCGAGTCTTTTGTGACATTTATTTTAGTCTTTTCTTCCCCCTCATCTTTGTAATGATCTTTTTCTTTCTTCATTAATGATATCTTTGATAACATCTTACAACAACTCATCTAGCTTTCATCAGTATTGTGTCAAATATATTCTTGAGATCCTTTTAAAATTCAGGTGGGATAAAATCAGGGTTTAATTTTTATTTTCATGGACTTTTAAAATTTTCTTCTGTTTTAGTTTGTACACGCTTGTCAGTACTTGATGGTCTATTACACAGCCACTTGTCTTGTTTTGACTGCAGATATTGAGCTTCTTGAAAGCAGGAGTGGAATCCAATTCCTAAATAAATTGTCTCCAGAAACTCTATGAACTTTGATGTGTCCATAGTTGTAGAGGGCCTTCAGGCCTTTTGATCATAGGGTTGCTATTAGTCATGCTCGACTCGAAGACAATCAACACTACCACCACCACCAACAGTCTCTTTCCACAGATGCAGTCATTTGAGTCTTGTGTAGTCCATCAGGTAAAATTCATGTGTAAAACTCCTTTTTATGTTTTTTTTAAAAAGATATGAGTCGCAGGCGACTCGACAGCACATAACAACAACATTTATAATGAATAAATCATTAATTGTACAAAATTCTATCAAATTTTCTCCAGACTGGCTTCTATCATTAAAGTCTTATTTTCCAACTACTAGTCCTCTTTCTTCTTTGTTTCCAACTTTTTCATTCTGTTCATCAGTTATTATTAATAACAACACTCTAATATCTGTGGCAAGACTTCTCCCAAATTCTTTGCTGTTCAGTTGATCAGAATCAATCACAGCCATCCTACAAGAGTAAGTAGAACTTCCCCATAGGTTTTTTAAACAGTAATCTTAATAGGAGCAGATATCCAAGTCTTTTCCCTGCTGAGACTCTGGGTGTATTGAACCACATATATTTAAGTTGTTGTTAGGTGCCATCTTGAGTCACCTGCAACTCATAGTGACCCTATATATAACAGCCCTAAGCCTTGCTCTATCCTGGGCCAATCTTACTGTCTCTGACACACCTACCCCCATTACCCCAGTCACTGAATCAATCCATCTCATTGAGTGTCTTCCTCTCCTGTGCTGTTCCTCCATCCTCCCAAGCATGATATCCCTCTCTGAGGTCTGGTCCTTCCTTGCAACATGTCCAAAGTGTGTCAGATGAAGCTTCAGAATCCTTTCCTCCAAGGAGCAGTGTGGTCTCATCCTCTCTAGGAATATTTAGGTTAGTGTCTGCTAACTCTTGTGCCACTGAGGAAATAGTTGGAGGAACCAAGAGCTCTTTGAGAATCCTTCAGTGATGCAACTTGAGGCTTGATTTGTTTCTTCAATTAAGTTTGAAAAATACTGTTCTTCCATAATAGTTTTCTTCAGGTATTTGTAAATTTCATTATAACACTTTCATTTGTCTTCTCCAGATGCCCTTTGAAATGTTCTGTTTAGTTCTTTAGCTTCATCATACACTGCTGGTATTTACAATAAAGGCAACATAACTTCTCAGCATCAGAGCAGCATGTAAACCACCATAATATGACAAATAAATAAAAAAATCTGATACAAGCCTTTTAATAGGCAACTCATGTAAGAGTTATTTGGTTTTCTTATGTTTGGCTGGGCCTGCCTGATAACAAATTACCCAATTAAAAAACACATCTGGGGTCTATATGTGGATGTGTCACTCAAACATGAACTTCAAAGGTTGTTTTGATGTCTATGTCTGTTTATACAGCAGGAACAGCTGTAGGAACAGCAGGAACAGTTTGCAAGGGCAAACACATTCTTGGGATAAAAATAATGGCTTCATGGGAGCTCCTTTCAGAGGAGAATATTAATTGGTCTTTCTTGTTGTACATTATGTATAGTTCGGCTGGAGGATCTTCACATTATTTTAACATAATTCTCTTGAATGATCATAATTCTGTTTTCCAAGAAATGCTTAGACTGGGTGTCATGTCCCTTGTCTTTGTGGGCACATCTGCTAACCAGAGACAGCCTCTAGTATCCAAATGTAAGCATGGAATCTTAGAGTTACAGAGAAAAAGAAAAGAGGAAAGGGAGGCTGATAGTAAGTGAGGCTGATTCCTTCATTTGTTTGGAAAAAATAATCAGCACGTATTACTTGGCTTGATTAAGATGGTATGGGTAATTTGGAAGACATTAACCCAGCCATGGTTTCATTGTTTTCTTTTTCTTTCTTTCTTTTTTTTTTTTCAGAATCTACAACCAGGAGAAGATAAAATAGATGAATGGGACCTTCTAAGAATCAAATCCCTATGCACATCCAAAAACTTCTCCAACAGGGTAAAAAAGGAAGCCACAGAATGGGAAAAAGTATTTGGTAATGACATGTCAGATAAGGGACTTACGTCTAGAATTTATAAAATACTTGAGCACCACAACA